TCAGACTGGGTGCTTACATACCAACTTGGGTTGTCTTTTAGATTGATTTTAGAAACAATTTCGGACATCTTTGGATATTTGACTCGGATCTCTTCAAATGTCTCGTGGACTAAATTGCCATCTACATCAGCGTACAAGTTTCTCATTCCATCTTCATATTCAATGGATTCACATAAGTCATAGTCGTTGATTGCCTTTTTGTTTTGTTCAATAGTAAAACTTGTTGGCTCAGAAGACATTCTGTTATGTTTTTTAATTAAGGAAGTTCTTAAAAAGGAAAGAAAGTTCAAAAAAGTTGAAATTGATTAGAACGAAATTGATTTTGAAAATCTTTTCACGTTGAAAAGTCCACATTTATAGTTGTGTGAAACGTCCACTTTTTTGAAGTTTTGTTATTTTAGATTTTGTCCACTTTGTTGATCTTTTTTATTTTATTTAGTTTGATATATCTATTAAAATGTTTAATAAAATTTTACTAATATTTATATTGATTAACAATTAACTCAAAATATTTATTAACAAATAAATAATAAACAAAACAATACAATGAAATGATTGTATTATTATTATATTTTTTTCAATTTATTAAATATCATTTTTGAACTGCCTGATTGATAAAAGTCATAAGCAATTATTCTATATAAACAAGGTATTTAACTATATCTAGATAACGTTTTCAATAAACTAATTTGTCAAAAACGAATAAAATAAAATAATAATATAAAAATCATTTGTGTTTTTCATTTAAATAAATATCATTTAAATCAATTAAATAACAATTACCATTTCAGTATGAAACGTATAGATTATGTTTGCATAGATATTAGCAACTCCAACATTCGTGCGTCTTACTTTAATAAAAACAAGGAAGAACCTGAATCATTAACATTTGAATATGGTTATTCATATATACCATCAACTGTTGATTTGACAAGTGGGAAGTGTTTTGTTGGTTCAATAGAAAACACATCTATTACAAACATTATTAATATGTTGTCCATGAGGTATACCGACTTTTTACAGAGTCAACTCAAAGATACAACGAAAAATGTTTATCCCGACACAAATGGATTATGTGAGTATCATGTAATGTCAAATGGGACTGAAGTGTCGATAAGTCCTATTTTATCACTTTGTATGCTCTTACGCTACTTTTATCTCAGATTTGTTAATAAACTTGAAACAAGTACTTCAGATATAATTGTTATCAAAGCTGTTGTGACCTGTCAAAACCACATTCTTAAAGAAAATAGAGAAAATCTCGAATATGCTGCACATTGCACCGGTTTTGATGTTCTTTCTGTGTTAAGTCATCCGAAAGCATCGGTGTGGAGTGACAAGAATGTGTTTCGTGCAGAGGGTAATTATCTCTTTATTGATTTAGATACGAATTTGGAGCTGTCTGTTGGTAAAAAAGATGGTGAAAATTTACAAATAATTCACTTTCGAAATTATGAAAATATCACTGAAGATTTCTTGAATGAAAGACTTTTTGAAATAATTATAAAAGAATTGGAAGAAAGATAAGAAAAAGTGAAAGAGTTGTTTATAATGACTGAAAATGATGATGAACGTGTAAAAACGAATAAAAGAATAAGGCTTTATAAATTAAAAAATGAAATAAAACGTTCAATTGATTCATTTTCGAAACAAAATGAAGTTCAAAATGATTTTACACAATTTCATTTCGATTTACAAAATCTGTTGATAGATGAAACAATTTTTCAATCTTTTTTCGACATTTTCAAAAATAAAATATTTGAATTTTTGAAAGAAATCCAAATAAGTCACCGAAGTATTCAAAATGTAGTGTTGATTGAGCAAATGTGTGAATTTGGATTGTTGAAAAAATATCTGATTTCATTATTTACAGAAGCAAACTACTTTGATAATGTTTATCCATCTGTTATTGCTGTTTTTGGAGGGTGCAATTTCGGACATATTCGAGGTTGTAGTATGATTGATATACATGAAACTGAGTTTGTCCAAAAAGACATCACCATGTTAACAATCAAAGACAACAAAGTCGATTACAAAATTGTTGTCGCGAAAGGAAGACCAATTCCAGTCGAAGATGTGTTCATTGAGCTCACTGTTATGACTGAGACCGTTGATATTATGTTGTATGAAAAACGTGCATATCTCGGTGTTTATCGAGTGCAGAGCAGAATGACAGTTGGGCAGAAAATCAAAATCAATATATCCATAAACTATCTTAGAGAAATCAAACTTGTTTTAGTGAACACTGAAGGAAGCGAGGAACTCGTGAAAATAAACAAAGAGATTCAGAAAAAAACCTAAAGAGGAAACAAAAGAAAATGTTAAGATAAGAAAAATGTTCAACAAGTTTTTTTAAAATTGGTATTTAATTTGGTTTGATTTTATTAATAAATAATTGATTCAAATGTGTTTTAATATTTTGTTTTTAAATGGGAAGGCTTTTTTTTCACAACCACACTTAATAATAAATAAAATTTATTATTTGATATAACATGCAAATTAAATTTATAATAAAAAGAAAGATAAGTAAATATTTGGTCTGGTTCACGAATTTAAAAATTGCCAAATTTTCACCTCGAATTAGTAAATACCTAGTGAGACTGAGCATTTCAAAAACTCATAAAGTCACACGAAACAATCTGTTTGTGCATTGTTTTACCTACTTCCCAAGTTTTCCTTTTGCTGGGCGGAATCACATCCGCGTCCACATAGTAAGTACAAGGAAAGTGAGTGACATTGGAAGCACAAACAATGGCTAAAACGTGAATTTTATTCAAACAACAACAGCAGCAAATACTTACTTTTGATTAAGGTGGTGGAAAAAACTGGTTAAATACAATAAAAATAAATTAGAAATTGAATTCGATTACAAATATTTTTGTTCTTGTTATTGGGGGTTTAAATTAATGTTTTTGTAATAATATAAAAAAATAATTTGTAACAATAAATATTATTTTTACTATAATTTGAAATAAGTTGTACTTTTCTAATCACTTTATCAAGAAGTTAACAAAAATTTATAAGTTTAATTCAATTAAATATATTAAGGGGATTTAGCACAATGGTAGTATATAACTTTTCAATAAAATTATCTGGTTTGGTAAAGACTGTAGGTTCGATTCATATAATCCCCATTTTTGACAACACAAAAATAAAAAACAATTAAAAATATTTTTTCATTTTCATTTTATATGTTATTAAACAATTATATCTACAAATAAAATTAATTTCAAAACACAAACAACTTTGATATCTTATATTTTTAGATATGTATAAAATAATTAAATCCAGTATATTATAATTAACTACCCAATTATTATTCATTTTCTTTTCTTTTGTATTGTTATAGTCTTTGTTTGATTTATTAAACTCGGTCAAATGCGTCTATTTGTCGTAAATCCAGCAGAAACGTATCTATTTGTGGTAAATGAGTGAATTTTGTAGAAATTTTTTTTAATATTGAAATTTATTTTTTATAAAAAATTTAGTTTTTAATTTATCAAAAGTTACAGATTCGAAAACAAAATATTTAATTGTCGTACACTAAAATGATTGGCCGGTTGTGCGACAATTAAGCAACTTCGACAATTATAATTACGACAAATTGACGTTTTTGACTGTATTTATTTCTAAAAAATAAAACGGGTTTAACTTTAATTTTTAACTTTAAGAAAAATTGACATTTTTTTATACTCTATGAAAAAATAAAAGAATAAAACAGCAAATTCGTTTGTAATTGGTGTTATGGTTATTTTAAACGAATTATTCATTTAAAACAGTTTAAATAAAATGATAATATAACATTTAAAATATTTCTCTTTTTATTATCTAATAAAAATAAATTGTTGTTAAATAATCAAATTATTGAAAATAGCAAAAAAATTCTATTTTTGGAGAAGATGTGGAAGGTCAAAAAATGCTACGTTTTTGACAGGTCCATATATGTAAAAAAATCGACAAAGTCAGTCTAAAAACGTTATTCATTCGATAAACTTTATTTATATTTTTTGGTCTATTTTTAGTGAAAATGTTACCAACCTATGGGATAAGATCAGAATAAATTATAATTAATATAACTATTCAGAAACTCAATAACCAATTACACAACCATTAACATAAATAAAGTTGAGATTATTCGACCTTTCATTTCCAAACATCCAAACGTGAATAAATACGGTTGATTTGGTGATATATTTGAACAAAATAATGGGAAGTTATTGCTAACAAACTTCCAGAAAAGTTTAAAAATCTTTTCAAAATCAATGAGTTGGAAAACTGGTTGTTGAAACTCTGTGATATTCTTTAACGTACACAACACCTCTTCTATTTTGATTTTCGTTGTTTTATATTTTCAGTTATAATTGTTTGAATCATTGTCATATTTAATTGTTTAATGTGTGTTCGCTTACATGTTTTTGAATAAAACACAATTGTTTTTAGTTTTCTTATGGTACCAAATAAATTGTTATGTTTGTTGATGTAAAAATAGCATCGCTTCTTTGTTTTTAGAGTAAATTGTTGACATTCAAATTTGTTATTTTTTGTTATATGTAAATTTTGAGTTGTAAAAAATCAACAAATCATAATCAATAAACAAGGTAAACAAAATAAATACTGTTTCTGGACAGGCTTTATTTTTATAATCGTCATTTAAAAATCAAAACAAACAACATTGTTCTGAATTTATTTAAAAAAACTTTAAAAAATCAACAATGTCAACACTGACAATTATCAGATTATGATCGTATCAAAGGATTTTGCAAATATTGTAGATATTATTAATATAGAATTTATTTGTAAAAGTTTTATGGAAAGTTTGTTCTTAGCTTAATACAATTAACTCATAAAATTATAAAAAAAATTCCAAATATTGAAACACCATACTTATGGTATAAAAAGGAATAAAAATTTATTGATAATTATTTGTTGACTTTCAAAAGAATAAAAATTATGAAATTATAAACAAATAAAAACACAAAACAAAGATTATTACTTTTTATCAAGTTAAAGTGTGGTTCAATGTTGATTATGGTTCAGTATATTTAAACAAAAATCAAAATTTATTTTTAAAATTGTGACATACACACATTTTGACAGAGAAAGATTCAGTATTGATATACTCGATTGTGTCACATCACTTGATAATAATTTTTAATGTAAATGTCACTATTTGATCAGTTTAGAAATACGAGCAAATACCACTTCGATTGGAAAATTTTGCTAATTCAAATGTACAAGTTTGAGTCGTGTAAATACCATTTTTATAAAATCAACGTGTAGTTGTTGTTCCAATGATTGTATAAGTCTAAGAAATGAAGATTTATTGTCAAATGTCATATATATAATCATTGTTGCCCGTCTCATGTTGTTGTCAAACATATAAATTGACATAATTAAATTGTATTTATTGTTATGGTCAATATTTTATTAATAACTAAATATTGTATATTGTACTTTTTATCCAATTTTCTTATAATATATGTACTTATAAACAAAAAAGTGTTATATTTGTTTTTTTCATGCATTCTGTTTTATTTAACATTATATTTTAAAATTGATTGATTTACAAAAATCAATTGCCAAAATAAACTTTTCAAACCACTTTATTATTATTGTTGCATGTGTTTTTTCAAAAATTTAACATCTGAATTTAATATATATAATAATATTTTTAAATTCAAGTCAAGGACTTTGTAATACTAATTTGTATATCATAAATTATACATCTCTCTACCACTTCGATAATTTTTCTTGCAATTGCACACTTTATTGTTCAATTTTGTTAATAATATAATTATAATAAAACAATTATATGTTTTTATTAAACAAAACAAAAAAACACAAACAAATTACTTTAAAACTATTACTCTAATTAAAATACCATAAATAAACTATAACTAAAGTTGTACAAATTTCCACAATTAGTGTTTTGGGTTGCACCATTCAACCATCTCGTGTTTATTAAAAATTTGCAGTGAAGGAGTTTTTGAATCACACAAGTTGGCTTTATTCATCATTTTTGTTTTATTCACGAGATGTTTAACATCTGCACCATCCAAAATCAATAAACAATAATCAATACTGTTTTATTCGTTTTATGACAATTAGAATTCTGAATTTTTAATGCTTTTTATTAAAACAAGCAGTTAAACTCATCATTTAAATATCGAGTTATATTTTATGTTGATTTATAACATAATCAACTTTATTGTTTTTGTTATTGTATTGTTCAAAAAAGAGTTTCCCCTTTTTGTGAGTAATAAACAAAGAAAAAATAAAGTTGCACACTTATTCGGAATGACTTTACTTGTGTTTGTTCAAACACTTAACATTTTATTTTTGGTTATTTAATTTCAGTTATTAGTTTTTTTATAATTATTAGTAAAAATAATTATATAGATATTATTAATTTGTAGTATAAATGTTTTACAAATTCGTTATAGTAAATTATAGTAATTTATTATAATAATTTATAGAATTTGTTGTCTGCTTAAAATAGAACAATGATCAAATATAGATTTATTAATTAAAAATAACTATAACAACAAAATCCAATTTTTCTTAAATAAATTGGTTAACACTTATAAAACCGAAACATGCAAAAAACAAGTTTTTTTAATTTTCTTTTACCAAATAACAATTTTGCCAAAAGGTATAATCGAAAAAAATATTTTTTGTATGTGATTTTTTGGAAATAATTAATTAAATTAATTCAATGTCGGGAAAAGTTTTAATTTAGTTTTTTATGTTTTTATTCTTAAAAGTATGGAGTGTGAACAACCTGAAGAACCAGAATATTTCTCAAGTGAGACGAAGCTGAAGAAAATGTTAACATTAATTTTGGAGAAGAGATAATATGTCCTCAAAATAGTTATGAAAAACCTGTTATTTTTGAACCCCAACACGTATTAGATAATCCTAATAAAATTGTTAAAAATTGGGAAACAATTGATCCAGTTTTTGGGGAAGCAAATTTTTCAAAAATGAACCAAAATTACAGAAAAACTGAAATTATTGGTATTTTTTCTAAAGAAATTGAATGTTTTGAAAAAATAATAACTCCCGATTTTTTGGACTTGATTGTGGCAGGAACAAATGAAAAGGGCCAATCGTTAGTTAAAAATTGGAAAGTTACAGACGTGGATGAAATAAATTGTTTTATTGGTGTTATGATATTTAGGAGCCATGCAAAACAAAGGCCCATTTTCCCGATTTTGGAGTTCAGAATTCGGGCGTCCTTTTCCAAAAATTGCCATGGATAGAAATCGGTTTTATGAACTTTTTCGAAGTTTCCGTTGTGACCTCAAAGCAACAAGGGAAGAAAAAAGAAAAGAAACGGTATTTCCAGCTGTAAAAGATTTATTTGAAATATTTGCCCGAAATATTACGCAAATTTCTACACCAGGTCAGTTAATTTGTGTGGATGAAAGAATTTTCGGTTTCAAAGGGTGTTGCAAAGGGATTCAATATTGCCCTCAAAAACCAATCAAACGGGGGTTAAAATTTTACTGCGTTTGTACTTACGACAAAAAACTTTGTGTTGGAATGACTTTGTATGAAGGAAAAAAAGAGTCAGAAATCGGGAAAACTGATGAACTGCATCAAAGAGAGTCAGTAGTGATGAAATTAGTCGAAAATTTAATTCCAAAAGATGCTCCTAAAATAGAATTTTTACTACAAAGCGACAACTACTTTACTTCTATAAGAGTAATTAACTCGCTTGAGTCGCAAAAAATCGGGTACATTGGCACAATGAATCAACGAAGTGCAAACATACCTCCAGAGTCAAAAAGGAATACAATGTTAGAAAAAGAGAAATATTTGACAAAAATGGAAAAACAAACTTCAAAAAAGTTAGAACAATTTGAAAATAGAGAAAATATTATATTTAAAAAAATGGGTATGTTGGCATCACAGAACGAACTAAATCGGGAAAAAATGGATATTTTGGAAAAAAAAGACTTTGAAAATATCCAAAATTTAAAAACAACAAAAATGGAAATGGAAAAAATTGAATTGGAAAAAACCCGATTAAATAAGGAAAAAGAAACCAATCCTCAAAATATTCTATTTTGGAAACAGGATTCAATTCTTTTGACTTCATTTAATCTGAAAAAAACTAAAACTGTGATAATTACAACAAATTCTCTAAATGTCCCGATACTTGACCCCAATAAGGCCAAATCAGAAATGAATGTATTATATAATTACACAAAAACACCTGTTGATACATTTGATTTCCTGTGTCAAGAATATTCGACAAAAACAAAAACAAGGAGATACAATATGGTCGTTTTTCAAAATATTCTGGATTGTGCAACGGTTAATTCTTATGGGATGTTTCGGTATGTGATCCAAAATGACCACTTCACTTTTCTCGTTCGATTGGCCAAACAATTGTCAGAAAAATACATCAAAAAACGTCTTGTACATGGAATGAAAAAAACAAAAGAAAAAAGAACCATGTTTATTGCTTGTGGTCTTTTGGATTGGTGGGAAGAAGCAAACACTTCACAAAAAGAGAAAGAAAAAAATATGAAAGAAAATTTGCTTTACGAAAGCAAAAGTGCCACCTTTGCGTTGGTTCTAATGCGAGCAGAATAAAAGAACTCTGTTCGCGTTGTGGAGAAACCACTTGCTTGTCTCATTCTTTAATGCTCTGTCGAGTCTGTTGGGAGTTAAAAAGAAGAGCGAAAGACAAGAAAAAGAAAAGAATTGGGTCTAATTGATGGTTTTAAATTGTTTGGTTGAAACTTTTTTGTTGTTTTTTAAACTATATTATCATTTAATCTAAACGTGTTTGAGAAATTATTTTTATTGTAATTATGCAATTCTTTATTTTGTTATCAGGTGGATTGACGATGTAGGATGTGTTGTTATGTAAAGAATTAACATTAAAAATATTTCTTACAAAATTTCATACAAAAGATTATTTTCGATGGATCTTAGGTAATTGAGTATTTAAATGTTAATTATTTTAAGTAAAATAAAACTGACTATTGGCCGGTTTGGGTTAGAAAGGGGTTTTAGAATAAAATAAAAGAAAAATGATTTGGACAATTTTTTCTTTACTTATTTTTCTTCTTAAAAAAAGCTTTAGGTTATGAAAGTGTTAAGTTTAAAAATCATAAAATATTTAAAAAAACAATTTATAATAATCAATTACATTTATATGTTTTAATTAAAAAGAATACATTCTTTGAATTTTCAATTATGATTTATGTTTAAAAAAATACAAATTCTAAACATTCGAAGCAATTTTTTTATATTTCTTAAATAACAACAACAAAGTGATTTTTAAATAACTCGACTTGTGTAAATTCGATACATCAAAAACCCTGATACATGTATAAATGATGTAGCAAATTTGACAATAAATGAATGGAAGTTTTTCAAAAATAAAAAGAGCCAATTCACTTAATATAAATTGTTTGTCAAAATGTTTTATTTATAATAAATTTTGTTTTTTATTATTATTATTATTGTCTTCGACTTTATAATTATATTTTGATGTGAATTTTATTATTTTATTTGTTATTTGTATAGTTTATGTAAAAATCACTACCAAAATTTGGAACAACAAGAAAATACTTTATAAATAATTAAACAGATAAATTAAAAATTGGTTTTTAAGAATTACTATAATGATATAATTAAAAACAACAACGAACTGATTTTGTCAATAGTAAAGAGTATGTATATTTAAAGCCAAACTTACATGCATGCGCGATGTTTTAATCAAAAAACATAAAAACTTCCATAAAAATATAAAAAGATACATCAGAAAGTTTTTTTCATTTTAAAAATAAAACAAAAAAAATTGAAAATATTTGTTTAAATATATAAATTAAAACCAAAACAATTAATCTCATTTGAAAACACAATAAACTTCCAAATTATAAATAAAAGTGCTTGTATTTTTAACTATAACAATAGTTTATTTTATCGATAATTGATAATATAAACGAAGCCGAAAAAATCGAAAACATGAAACCATATTTAAAGCAATTATTTATAATTCTGAACACATCAAAACAATGATTGTTTGTTCTCTAACATCACAAGTGTTGAAATAATCATGTAGTATATTTGAATACTCGATGCTGGCTCGAGTAAAAGTCAGCACACTCATGTGGCGTTATTCCTTGTCGAGCACCCTTACGGTCGAGCCTGCCTCGCCTTTTATTTACCCACCAAAAAGAAAAAAAAACATACCCTCTTGAAATATGTTATGGTATTGAATAAAAACATAACTCCCATTCAGATATTTATTATGTTGTAAACAAAACAGAGGAAGTTCCAACGACAAAGTTGGAAATGAGATATTGTTAGCTCTGAAATTAATTGGCAGAGCACAAATACATTAATGTGTTATTTTAACGTGTGTATAAAGAGTGGGGAAGCGAACTAACTTATCTTCAAAAAAACAAAAAAGTAAGGGAAGAAAAAAACAAAAGAATCACAAGGATATAATCGATTCCGTATGAGTGTTATTTTATTATACATATTAATAATTATTATTATAATAATACTTTTAATAAAAAACTATTTAATTAATTGTTTGTGTTGCTGAATGGAATTTGTGAAATAAACAATGACTGTATTTTGTTAAGAAGAGATGGGTCTTGTGCGATCTGCAATACAACTAAAAACACTTTTAATAAAGACGGAATTTGTGTTGAAATAGAACAAGCGGAAGTGATCAATCAAAAGAGTGTTGTTTCATGCAATAGTGGATATCTTTCAAATACAACAACATGCATCAAATGTGGAGATGTGTACCCAAACACTTTAATTTGTGAATACCAAAAGTCGACAAAATGTGACTCGTTAAGTGAAATGAACACCAACAAAACATGTGAGTTGACCAATTGCGAACATCCAAATGACTTGAATGGAAAATGTACAACTGAGTTGTTAAATTGTCAAAGTGTTTTAAACGCCAAATGTGTTGAATGTCCAAATAAAATGCTTTTAAATGGTGAAACATGTGTTTTAAATGATGATGAAAAGTGTATTAAAACGTACACGAGTGGCTGTGCTAGATGCGGATTTGGGTTTTATTATAATTTAATAACACAAAGATGTGAAACATGTGACTCAAATTGTGAGACGTGTTATTATAATTCGACTTTCTGTATGAGTTGTCGAAGTGGTACATTTTGAGTGAACACAA